GAGCCCCCCGCTGGCCTGGCGGACCTCTTCCTGTAGGAGCGCGCTCTGAATGGGGACACCAAGGAGCCTCAGTGGGGCCAGGGCGGGCAGAGGGCAGACGGCCACCCCACCCCTGCTTCTTGGTGAGCCCAGGAGGGCGGCCACGTGGGAGAGGACGGTCCTGTCCTGGAGGCTCCTACTGGGAAGGCAGCTCTGGGCTCCGGCCTCCGAGATTGGGGACAGCCCGGGAGCCCCTTACTGGGATGCGGGCTTGCGTGGCTGGCTCCCCCAGAGCCCACCTGGACCTCACGTGCCCTGGCTTCAAGCCCTTGGCCATCCAGGTCCCTCCAGCTCAGGGCCGGGCCCGGTTCGCCCTCCTCCTCTCCAGGGTGCTGCCCGGCCTCCCCGGTGCCCGCCAATGCTCACCCGAGGAGGAGGAGGAGGGTGCAGGACAGGAAGAGCAGGGAGGTAGCTCCAGCGCCCCAGAGGGCCCCCCGCGTCACTCCGGATAGAGGCCCTGCTTTGCCTGTGGACGACCAGAGGGAATTGCTTTGCCCACTCAGCTCTCAGGATCCCTCCACCCTCCCTGCCGCTCCCTGCAGGACCCTGGACTGAGCTTCCTGGTCCCTCTCCCAGACCAGGAGAACTAGGATGGGGGGGGGGCACAGTGTGGTTATTGAAATTTGGTATTTTGTTCACCATAGAATTTTTTTCATCCATTTTTACTTTTTTGATTATTGCATCGTTATACTATTTTCGCTCAGTGTCTGGGCTGGTTCTGTTCTCACGGGGGTTTTGTTTGCTTTCACTCTTGGCTTCTGGCTTCTGGCTTCATCCTAAATGTGGTGCCCAAGGCAAATGCCTCAGGAGCCCTGGCCCACAAAGCAAGGGCCCTGCTGCCCAGACACCTGTCTAAGGCCCACCTGGCCTCCAAGATCCACCACCCACCCCTTGGCCCAGCAGGGAGAGGACAGCGAGGCTCTGGGTCCCAGACCCCAGCTGAGGGCAGGACAGAGATGAGCTTCCCCCTCAAGCCAAGGAGGTGGCTGCAGGGACTGGTGTGGGGCAGGTGCTGTCCCCTCCTCCTGGCCCTCTCCAGCCCACTGTGACACTCACTCTGTGGTGACAGGCTCAGGGAGATGTGCTGGGAGCCCAGAGGGTTCTGCGCATGGCAGGTGAATTCCCCTCC